ATATATGCCTATATTCGTCCTCATTGGCATCATCAAAAGTATTATTATTGTTGCATTCGTACAACTGAACTCAATTAATAGGCATTTTTATTTTGTTTTCTGTTATATATTAACCTATTGTTTACTCCCTAATGAATATGTTTTAGTTCCCAAATCGAGTTAGTTAGTTGAGTTAGTTAATTTATTTGGTTTTGTTTGATGTTTTGCGTGATGGTGGTGTCCTCCAAAATATCAATGCAGGAAGTCTGTAAAGTTTTTTAAAAGGATATTTTGAGTTTGGAGCATGCTATCCTGTTCAATTCCATATATAATGTCATGTTGAACTGTTAGGATTAAATGGTTACAGCATTGACACACCGGGCCGCCGGCCGATGCAAGTCAAACAACAACGCAACGCGCGTGACGAAGAGCGTGCAGACCGCCAATCAGCAGACGGCGTCACGTCGTAGTGACAGATCAGAGCGGAGACGGATTAATCGACAATCGTACGACAGTCCCACAACGTGCTGTGCCCTACTTAACGCATTTATTAAAGCTTCAGTTCTAGCTCTTTCCAATACAACCAGAAAGACCGGACGAAAAAGGATGGACGGTTTTGCTGGCAATTTTTCTTCTAATCAAAACAGTAGGTTTGCATCTCCATGAATATGCCGAATCGTGGGTCCCTAATTTACAACTTTGCTTGAATTATTGTGTTGAATACAACGAAGGCAAACATTAAAGTAACAGAAACTGGTCCCGCCATTAGATAAGTATTTAACACACAAAAGAAAATAAAAATATAAGTATAATGTTTTAATTATAAACATAACATGAGCACAAAGTGCCAGTGCTCTTGCATTTACAATGTTATATTCAAGTAGTGGAGTGCATCGCATAATAGGCCTATTGATATTTATATTAGACGAAATGGGTTTTGTGTCAATTCTTTAATTGGTGTTTACTTAAGCTCCGCCTTCGTTTCCAAGCACGCGCAGTTCTGTTCCCTACTTACGCGCATCATCCTCGAATGTTTGAAACGTTCTTCGTGGTAGTGATTTTGATCAGAACACGGTTTGCCGTGTGATGCTTCATTACTATTTATTACTACTAATGCAATCGCCAAGGAATCATAGTATTGGATATTTAAAGTCTTGGGTTCACTGTTGTATAATCAGTTGAGTGTTGATACTCATCGGAGCAGGTTTAAGTAAAAACTGTCACGTTTTTTAGTATTTACTTTCCCATCTCGAACATTTAAAGTCGCATTAAAATGACTCTTGGACTTGAAGAATTGGGCACTTTCGCCTTTTGGAGAGCCGCCTTGGCGGAGTTAGTCGGAACATTTTTCTTCGCATTCTTAGGATTGCTGTCAACGACGGCGTTCCCTGGTTTCGCTACTGGTGATATCGTAAGAATTGGCCTAGCGTTCGGTCTTGCGATCGCTACGATGGTGCATTGTACAGCTCATATTAGCGGTGGACATTTGAACCCTGCCGTTACAATTGGTTTTCTGTCAGTCTGTAAGATACCACTTGCCCGTGCTATTTTGTACGTAGTAATGCAGTGTATCGGCGCCATCGCCGGCGCTGGTCTCGTCTACGCGTTTACACCAAGGGGTCTCAACGATTTAGTCGGCCCGACGACGCCGTTCTCCAACAGTGATATGACAGTGGATGGCTGGCAGGCGTTTATGATCGAACTGTTTTTGACCGCTCAGCTTGTATTGACCGTGTTCGCAACCGTCGATCCGAACCGCAAGGACCTTAATGGATCGGGCCCACTCGCCATTGGACTGGCGGTTGCCCTTGGTCACTTCGCTGCTGTAAGTACCCTACATTCCATGGTTTTGTAACCTAAAATATGCTACCCCCATCATTAATTTTAAATGCACACACAGCATCAACCATACCTAGCCTACTGTAAATAATAAATAAATAATTATGCCCTATGTAATATTATTAGGTCAGAGATAGCTAAAGTAAACAAATTCACGGAGACAGTTAGGTGTTCCCAAACAATATAAAATATCATGATCTAGGCCTATTCATCATAATTATACTCATAAAATATGATACACATACCGGTAGCATATAGAACTCACAGTATGTAGGTCCAGTATTTTGTCGAATATTGTAGACCTAGAACAAGGATTGGGGACATGTGTTATTGTGTCGTCACCTTTATCGATACCATTTATTTCACCATTAATCACCTTGAGTTTGGTTGACGTCATTATTCAGGCTAGTCATGCCGTATATCACATTGTTTGTATCTGAAATATTTAACAATATGTTGAGCAATAATAATAATAATAAAAATGATGACGATAATAATAATAATAATAATAATAGTAATAATAATAATAATAATACTGTGTAATGGTAATACTCAGATACATGTACAGTACGAACACCTTTTGACTTTAGAAACACTAAATTTATTCTTACGAATATTCATTACCGTTATAATAGCTATATGTTTCGAAACACAGACGGATGCATCTTTTTCGTGTAAATGTGTGTTGCTAGCAATATAATGTATGTCTTTTTGATAAAAGTATTTAATGTGTTTGCTAATATGATAGCTTGGCAGATATGTATTGTTTTCTTTATTATGAAAATTGAATTGATTTTACGGTCAATTCTCAGAAGAAGTATTATGTTTTATGGCACCACTTAAGTTTTCTGACTGCGCTCGACCTCAGATAATATACGTAATAGTTGTCTCAGGCTCGATCGTGATTCTAGCAAATGCATAATTGATTTAGCACTATTGGTGTGGATTTATTTAATGTAAATTCAGTTTACCCAGGGATTAGGCGTACTTCCACCACTGATGCAGATTGGTTCCATAATAGTTGTAGTAGCTTAAAAAGTATTACAAAATCTTGTTTACATACTAAAGTAATGTATTTATCAATAATATTTATGCCCTATAACAGTCAATGGGATCATTTTTCTGCCCCAGTTAAGTAAAATGCATTAAACCGACATAAAACATGTAATGTCGACAAACGCGTTTTTCGATAATCATTTGAGTGGAGCTGTAGATGTTGGTTGAAATTGTGTGCCTTCCGATCCCAGCCAATGATCCCGATTTAAGACTCGTTGTGTGGCATTAATAAAAATTAGTTTCATTGTGTAGCTATCGGAGCGAGTCACATTGATGAAAAAATTAAATGGAATTGAAACTCAGAATATCACGTTTATTTTGCAGTTCCCGTGTTAAATGTCAACTTACGGCATGAAGGCTCACTCAATTTACCGTACTCTTGATTTACTATAGGCGTGCACCAATACACAATGACAGAACGTAACCCTACACTTTTATTACCACACAACTGTTGATGTTGAATTCCATTATAATCCCTCATCTGTATAATAGCCTACGCCTAGAAAATATATTGTTTGCAGTTGCGTATCTTGTAGTATTGGCATAGGGGTGGGGATTGTGGTGTGCAAAGGTGGAGACTTAATAATTAAGTGAGGGGCTTTAACTGGCAAATTAACGTGAAATGGGATGACCTTGGACTACTTAATTTCAAACGGGGGTTGAGGGTGCGCTAGTTTTGGGTGCTAATTCCCCGTAGATATACAATTTTCCCTGTATATATTGTATTGGCCTACATGCTAGTATACATTCGCACCCCACCCCCAACCCCCAAATAAATCAAGACCCCTACTAAGACCCCTCTAATTCGAATACTAACTAAACATCTTCCATCAACACAAATAGAACGCTCTAATTTTAGAAACCACCCTTTGTTTCAATTATAAATGGCTATACATCCATAAACACAGATTTGCGGTTTGTACAACCTTGTGGTTGTACCGCTGCAAAACATTAATACAATAGTGATGGTATACGTTGCCATAATAGGACGCGAAATCATGAGAAATATTCCCCAATTGACAAGTCTTTTAAATGATAACACCGAACGTCACCTTCCGATAGGATACGTTGGGCTCACAACTACTTCCTTCCAGGTCAAAACGGTTCCACCTTCTCAATTGTAAAGAGACCTGATCTGCAATAGAATAGATTGAATATATAATATCCATAATATAATATAATTAAATGATAATGGTTATGGTAGGGATGATGATTATGACTTATGTATGGATCAATTCAAATGACGTCATAATCATTGAAAAACGATAAAATCGTTGTAGTCGTATCGTTTTTCCATGATTATGACGTCATTTGAATTGTTTCTCACAATATTTTGTTGTCGTATACACGATTAATTGTTATAGAATCGTCCTAGTGTTAAAAACTTCTCTTTTTCTTTTAGTTTCTATATGAACAATTGCTTTTTAAATTTGTATTGTTATCCTTATCGTTGCAAGTATAAACAGGCCTTTAATGTTAATGACGATTGTTTAATAATCATAATCAAAAGCATAATTATACAGTACTCAATGAAATAATACTCAAAATAATGATAACGATCAAGGTATTGATAATAATGATTTGAAAATAATGAAAGGTAATGATAATAATAATGATTTAATAATAATAATGATAATAATAATAATAATAATAGGCATATTTTTCCTTTATTTTTAATGTTTTGTTTTGTTTCGTTTTTTATTAAGTGGTAGATCGTTAAAATGTGCTTTGTAGGATCTTCATTTTTAAAAATGCTTCATTCGTTTAATGTAGCTCTGTGTAGAATTAGAGCGGAGGGTAAATATCGTTCATTTCTAAATATGACCCACAAAGATGTATATAAACCTCATCTCCCGTATGATCCGCGAATGTATGAGGACTTATACATGCCTGCGTTTCAAACGTCTGCTGTCGGTAATTGTTTAAGACGTACCGGTATGCGAATGAACGAGGCCCGTTGAATCAGCAGACTTTTTCGATCCCTGGCTGCCGGATATCTCCATACAGCTTATTATAGTCATAGAAATTGCAGATAAACACGTGAGCAGTTGCCACCAATTCCCAAGCCAAATATTACTCTGAATTTAGATCCATCAACCGTGCAAACCGTGTCTTAATGTTTGTTTTCCTTTCACTATGTACTTTTTTGACGTTTTCCTTTTTACTGTGATGCTGATTGTTTTTAGTGTGAATTGGTTTTCTTTATGCAATTGTCTTTTTCCAAAAGTACGTTTTGAAGTTTTTTGTTTTGTTTTGTTTTGTTTTGTTTTTGTCGTGAACCTGATTGTTGATTTTTGTTCCTGTTTCAGTCCTTTTTATAGGTGATAATTATGATAACATCATTATTTGAATACATGTTGTGATATATATCATCATATGAAATTATTCCAACTATGACACTTCAGTTCTAGATATGGATATGAAGCATAATTAATACCAAATTGACAGAACGGTTTTGATTTCCATTGCCTTCCATAGATACCATACACAGGCGCCAGTATGAACCCTGCGAGATCATTTGGATCAGCTGTTGTTGGAGGGGAATGGACAGATCACTGGGTAAGAGTTTGCAAGATAACCTTAATATTGTTAACGTTTATTATCCTAACTATTATCATTTAGTATTTATTTTAATCATTATAATACGGTTCTATTGTTATTTTATTATTTTATTATGATTATTGTCATACATATGAGTATTATTAATGATATTATAATTATTATTGTTATTGTTAATAATATTATTGTTATTATTATTATTATTTAGCGGCATAGCATTATCACTGACATTCTTATCAGGGCTCATTTGAAAGTCTGTGTTTCAAGCTGTTTGCATCTGTTTTTGGTTTTGAATTTATCTGTGCTTAGCCTTAGGCTGTGCCAGCTGCGTGTTAATGTCTAATAGAATGTTAATTCATACAAGTCCGTTGATTCTTTTGATCATGTCTTTATAATATACAGTTTAGCTATGTAATAATCGGATTTTTTTTTTATTCTGTGAAATCTTGCATTTGGATGTAAACAAAATCTTTAACAAGTTCACCTCTATCAATATGTTTTAAATAATAGGAACTATTAATCATGTTTAGGTCTTATCACATTAACGCTTGTTGAGCACTTGAGCAATTTTTACAGCATTAATATTCCAGTAAATTGAAGAATTGTTAATTTTGAATTTATTATTACACAAAAGTAGTGTGTAATCTCATCTGATGTTTAATTCATTTATTTATTTAATATGATACGTCATTGTATACTTGATAATCAGATATCGATGTTGACTTGTCAGCCTCGAATCATGCCCATTCGGGTTTGGATGCCCAACTTTACCTCAGCATGCAATAATACTTGCAATAAAAAATAATAGAAATTCCTTACATCATTATTGTTTAATTACGTCACTAGGTCTACTGGATTGGACCCATACTCGGTGGTATACTGGCAGCTATTGTGTACAACTTCATTCTCGACCCAACATCGTCAAAAAATCGTATTCGTAACTGGTGTTCGCCCGTGTTGGAGAACGAACCTAACGGCGATCTTAAGATGAGTTCAATCGAGCAGAACCAAAATCAAGCAGGAGAGCCATAGACAGGAGAACACCACGTTTGCAACCCAATAGATATTAGGCCCCTATATCCGTATAATTTGTACAATATGTTTTTATATTATGAAACTATTTTCTAGATAATACCTTAATTTCTGTTGAATGTATTTTAAATGTTGTTAAGATATCGACGCCACTCTGCTGAGCACGCATGCAAAGCCACAGGGTGTTTTATAGCCACTCGTTTATATGTTGTGTATTATTACATTAAAAATGAATTTTAAAATACAAAAATAAAGTAAATAACGTCTTGTTGTAATACATTTATAATACATTTTAATCGCTGTATTTAGAGATTCGAGGTAGTCAATGAATTATTATAATTTCATTACTGTTATTTTAATTCGTATAAAAATTAATAAGTGTCTTATTTTCAAATGTTGCGCATTATAACTTACTTATGTATTCCCACGCTAAGCCCCGCCCCTTGGATATTGTTGCTAAGGCCCCACGCCACGACAGTTGTAAAATCGTACGTACACGTGTTTGTGGTACAACACATGACGGTGTTTGTAATACATACATGCGCCCATTCCTGGCCCTATTCATCTTGTGATTGGTCAATTGTTATAGCTTCATTGAAACTCCGGAAAGGTCTCTGAATGATGAGCAATACAACTCGTGGGTTAATGAAAATATAAACGTGTTAATGGATGGTGGGGAGAGCAATGATTACATTATTCGACAGTAACATTTAAGTCGCATTGTAACTCAAACCCATCATAAAATTATTGACAAATACACACGTAAATAGGCCTACTTGTATCATGGAGGTAGATATAGGCCTAAATATATATTTATACCTCCATGCTTGTATTCATGTCGTGTTTGTTTAGCTGGGTACACGCACGTCGGCCGATGCAAAAAAAAAAAAAAAAAAAAAAAAACGACCAAGGAATCCATTTTCGCTCTCTGTGAGCGCTGGACGATGCGACGTCGTCCGCTGATTATCGGCGGTTACTCGTCGCGTTAGCCAGCCATTGTCGTTGCAGTGTGTTTACAGTACATCTTATGTATTTTTGCAAGTTTTTTTTGACATATGCTTGTATATATTAACAGCATGTAGCATAGTGCCAACGCCGCTACATGTGCGTTAGGTTCGTTTTAAATTAATGCAAAATTGTAAATAAACGAAGTACTCGAGGTTTTTCTTCCAAATGTGTGTTGTAATTTTTATCTATACTCTGGCTAGGATCATGTATTTGTTTTATTTCGTTGATACAAAAACCACTTCAATAAACAGATGATACGAAGTGTCTTTTTGACATTGGCATTTCAATTAATCTTTCCGCTAAGCCCCGCTTCTTGGATATTAGGTAGTTTTCGCCGCACGACGTTAACCTTAACTTAAACGTTAGTACCCAACATGCAACGCGATAGCTCCGTCCCTTTTGTAAACAAATCGAAATACGCATGCGAAAACCTGTAATTGACGTACGTCGAGCACGTAAAATCCCGAAATTAACGTATTCCGCAACGCAAGATGAATAAATTATGATGTCGTCCGTTAACGTTAAGGTTAACGTCGTGCGGCGAAAACTACCTATTGTTGCTAATGTCCCTAAACACAATAGCGTAAATATACGTAAACACGTGCGTTTGTGAGACATGTCACTGTTTAGGCACACATATAGTTCTGCACCGTTCGCCTTGTTTGGCGAAGATCTACCTCAGATAAAACGCTAAAAAAAAAGAAATACTAGTACGATAGCGAACCATCTTTCTGATACAGTGCATCATGATTTGAATGACGTGTGAATAAACTTCATCAATACGTTTTACTTTTACATCGCATGAAAATAGTGCAGTTGATTGTTCTGTTGGCGTCAATATAAGTTTCAACTTTTAAAAAATATTGACGCCAACAGAACAATCATCTGCACTATTTTCAGCGATGTAAAAGTAAAACGTTTTGATGAAGTTTATTCATACAACGTCATTCAAATCATGTACAAAACAGTTAAAAAACTTGAAAGAATCAAACAATAATGTGCGTGTCGACATTACAATTGCTTTAGAAATATATCTTCAAAAGTAATTTTCTAGAGCATAGCACCATGGTACGGACTATCTTTACTGAATGAAGAAAATAACCTTTAAGTAATTCAAAATATATAATTAAGTATTGCGGACGCATAAACGCTAAATGTTTTGATTTTAAAGTGGAGAGTAGTTAAGTTGATCTACCAGTATTTTAATGATGGAACCGGTAGTTCGAATGGAGGAATTATTGCCTTGCTTAAACAGCTTACCACCTCTCCATGCTACAATGTAGAGTGCAACAACAGAAATCCTGATCATTTTACTAAATACAGTACTTGCATAATTCTGAAAATGTTGTATTTTAAAAAAATGTTTATAAATTTATAAAACGAATCCAGACCCACCCCATAACCCCACCCCGTTACTTTTTCATCCACACCCCGACAAAACACTCTCTCTCTCTAACGAGGCTTGACGAATAAAACACTTCTTATGTCAACTAAATTCATCAGAACAATAGGGATGCCACAATCAGTACGTGAATGTTTCAGCTTTATAAAGGTATAACTAATTTCCCCCAGGGTGGGTATATTGTCGGAGAAGGAAAGGTTTTTTCTGGGAATAAATAGGTCTAATCTTCGTTTAGCCTGTAACATAATCTTCTTCATTTACCTATTTGTGTTAACATTTCATCATGGATACCCTCCAAACCACGAATTTTAACTTTGGTTCAGACAACAATATGTAGTTGATGTCAAATAACTAATAAAATTCACCAATATTTTCCCCTGAACCGACCTTGGCGGCCCCTTGCAATAAACAGTTTTACGAATCAATTCATAAGGAGTCTTCGTTTTCGGGGTCTTGGTAATGGGTGTGCAATTTATAGACAGCATCCCGTAATTGTTAGGCTTGTACACTTAAAATTATAACGTAAAAACATCGTCATAGAAACTTTTTTTTAAAACTTTTATTCACAATTTTTTTGGGCGGGTGAAATATTCTGCCAAATCTCTGTAGGCATAGTCGGTACAGGTAGCATTTGACCTATAATACCAATGTCCCGCCTCATCTGTTTCTGCCTCCGCCTCTGTAGGCGCACTTGCTGCTTTAGCTTTTCATGTTCCATCTTCAAAATGTCTATTTCCTTCAATACTGTCAGAGTATCGCTGTCCAGCAGTATTTCACCGGGAGATCCTTCAGCTTCTGAGTTTGAGTTTGTGTCGTGATAGCGCTTGGTCCATCTCTTCTTCAAGTTGTGCTTTTTCTTTGAGGAACTCTTTCCGTTCATTGTCATGGTTTCCGAGTTCTTTGTCCAACCAGGTAAGGTAGTGATGTTCACACGGCATCGGTTGCGGTCGTTACTGGAATTTGGGAAATTTTCGACCCGGCTGTTCGCGTTTGGGTTAGGCCTAGTCTCGATTGTCTCGCTAGGCGTCAAACATACCAGCAGTTCATTGTTGGTAGATTTCCGATTCATTCCATTGTCCCCTCCTTTTAAAGAAGTTATATCAAAATCTGTTGGGTTCTCAGATATAACTGATAAGGAAAATAAAAATTAATCAGACTAGTAATACAATAAGCCCTACTTTCAAACAAATTACCGAACATGTCATTCATTCATTTATTTATACTTTCAATCCATATTTCAATAAATCCAAAGCAAACATACACAAAGTATTCTATGTAGGCCTATAGCGCATGAGGATAATAGGTCGCACTAGGCGCTTTGAATTACAGTATATAATATGGTAGTAAAATAGGCCTATCCTCCGCCGAGTCTACTTTGACTTAGCTATAATCTCTTCACTACACGGATAACCTATCCGACGCCGGACACCATCCCGGTATTTTTTTTTTCTAGGTTTCGAGGTAATATGAATAATTTCTCTTTTGTAAAATATATGTTTTTCCCTATGTTTCATATTGCTTTAGTATGTATAATTGCGGCACTAGTTTGAGTCGATGTGGTAGGCGTACCAGTGGTGGCTATAAAAAAAACAGGGATAGACTCAATAAGCCAATTTGGTTGGCACTCCGGAAGAGTCAATTACCGTACAGGAGAGTATTGATGAGTTAGTGTACAAAATACCGTAAACTAAATAAGTATTCGAACTCTGTCAAATTCAACTGAATTATATTTAACAACAAAACACCAATAACAAGTAACATGACAATGCTGGAACTCAAGAGGGTGACATTGCATTATTGGAGTATTAAAATAGATTACAGTTCTCCGTATGGAACTGGTGTCACTTTAGTAGTGCCTGAATATATAATTAGATTATGAATATGCCTAAGTATTACAGTTTGTGCAGTTATAACTGTGTTGTCTACATTCCATTATTGTCTATAAACCATGAAGCCCGAACTTGAGATGAGCTTATTTTCACTGTAATCAAAATGTTGTTATGAGTGCGAAGGAATTTGTATTCATTGGCAATCCATTGAACTCGTCTCCGCCACGCTGAATAGAACACTCCATCTTTCAACTCACGAAAATATTTGATTAAATCATTTATTCTTTTTGACGTTTCTACTGTACCACTACAATACTAGCGCCGCTATAATCCTTCTCTGTGTGCAATGAACCATATATTCTCACATGTTTGATACCACCAAGGAGGTATAAAAATAATAATTATTTTTATACCTCCTTGTTACTACATGGTCCTTTATCATGAGTCAGTGAAAGTGGAAGTCACAAGAATTGACAAGAGAAAGAACTGGTAATGTTGTCATGTTCGGGCAGTTGTTTCCATTGGTTAAAACAAAAATATTCCTTGATGAGCATCGGATGGAATTGAACCCGGGAAATAGGATCTCCAAGGTTCAGCGCATACACGACGGCTAGCTACCAATAATTATATTAAAATGTATTTTAATATTATTAAATCAATAAACTGCACCCTGATCGCATACCGTACCTTTCTGTTTGCATGATTTCTGTCGAGGAATTCCTTGGATTACCGGAATATGCCGAAAAGGTCCGTCCACGTGAGATGTGTCTATTGACGTCTCCGCGTGAGGAGCTAGAAAAATATTACTGCCACGCGCATCTTCCGCTGTTGTCATCCAATTTGCTGTTTCAAATAAATACGAGTGCGCCCTCTCTAGTTGCTGACCACGTTGGTCACCTGTGTATGGCGGTAACAACTCTGCACGCAGGTGGTCGTAGTTGGTAATAGTCTGCGAATGGTCCATTTGAAAAGCAATTTTGCGATAGGCCTAGGTCTATCCTAATAATTTGTCCGTACAGCGTGTCTGTTACCTAATAATACCAGGAGCCAGGCTTTAACCAATCCGCTTCAACTATGCTTTATCTCCACACTTAACTAAAAGTAAAAATAATTTAATGTATTTCACGCCTTGGGATGGAAGAGTGCTTTCAATTAAAGGCCTTTAATAATAGGCCTAATAATATTTCATTAATTTATTGAAGATGTTACATGCATTTGATATAGGCCTAGGCTATGTTGTCTATAAAAAAAAAAGAATGTGAAAGAATGATTTTTTAAAATATCTAATTGTACATATATATTTAAATAATTAATAAGTAATAAAAATGACATTTTTCATATAGATTTTTAATAATTAATGTATAGTATATAGATTGAATTGAATTGATAGGCCTAAAGTTTGGTGTTTATTATGTGTGGTGTCTGATGTTTTATTTTATATATGTTTTCATTTGTTCATATTGTAAACTCAAAAGTATTTCAACCTTTGTTGCATTTAGTGTATTTTATACCAGATAAATAAATGTCCTATTTTAAAGAAATGAAAATGTAACATTACAACCTAACCGAACCAACGAGGCATAGCCTAGGCCTAGGTTAGGGGCTATCCCTATGTAGACTGGGTTCCAGTCCCTAAACTTTGTCTTAATTAGTTAAAATGCTTAAGAATAAATCGATTTTGGCACCATTGGCGTTCCATATTACTCATTTGCATGGCGTTCCATAGTATACTTTTTCTGGGATTAATAATAAGAACAATAATAACAATAATAATAATAATTATTATTATTATTATTATTATTATTATTATTATTATTATTATTATTATTAATAAATTTAGCCACTGAAAATATATCAGTTATTGGCAGCCATTGACTAGAAAACTTAGTTGGCATATTACATCTCATGATAATCTTAGATTTTATTATATTTAACAATCTTGTATTATATTACATTATATTATGTTGTAAATACATATTAATTAGAAAAATTAGCCATTATTTTGAAATATTCAAACTAATTTAACCATTTAAAAGAGAATCCTGTAGTTGTGCATTTTTTTTTTTATTTTATTTTTTTATTTTTTTATATATATATATACTTACCATTTCTTTCTTTTTCTCCTCCCTCCGATTAGGCTGAGCTACTTATAGTAATATTAATATTAATATTAGATTATTAATATTAGATTATTAATATTATTTTTTTTTCTACGAATTTAGTCTTTAATTCTTATTTTCCTTTCTTTCTTTCTTAATTATTATATTAATAATTAATAATTCGGATCAAAAAGTTTATCGACATAAACTGACGCTGGTGGCGCTTTCCGAAATGTGCTAATACTACGAAAAATCAATAAATTAGAGGCTTGTGGCAAGTCTAAGCCCTATGCAACATGGGGTAATAAGACGAATATTTCACTAAGGTCCTAACGACCCACATGCCCCTATCCTACCCTAGCCAACCAAACTTTGATTCGGGGTAAACGCAGTACCCACATCACTCACCTGATTGAAGCTGAACCAAACTGTGTAGGCTAAGGTAGGTTAAAGTTGTGTTATGACCTGCATAACACAACTTTAACAAAAAACTATACACTAGGTCGTATGCATGAGTCAAGAAACACTTACGTGACATGAAATTAACTGTTAATTATGTCTTCTTTTTATAAGATTGTATTACCATGACAAAATGCATGATTTAAAATGCTGAGATGTCCATACGCAAGCTTATGCTTTCAGTACGCACGCGTGAACGCGGTCGCATTCCGGGGTTCTGAATCGTGTACCTGATCTGACCGTGTATAATACCAAATAATACCCCTTTTACACAGCAAAATTACTTATAGGTTTTCCCGCCAATGGCGCATTGAGTACCGGTAATAGAAATTACGTAGAACTATGACACAATAATCTAATTACAAATGCAATCATTATTATTACATTACGAATCAACATTGAGACATAGTCACATAAATAGCACCTATCTATTGTATAATGATTTCTTGGTGTACTCAAATGAAATATAAAAGAAACGTGACGTTCCTTTAAATAGTTTTTGGAATGTTTAAACATAGTATATCATGTCATCGCATTGTATGACAATCTTTTGTCGAACACTTATAGTGTCATCTTTATTTGTTCCATGAAGTCAGGCAATCGGATGTGTGCGGCGAGCGCATGTTGACAAAATAACTGGAAATCACACAATTCAAACTGAGTAAGTGTTCCGCTGGACGACTTCTTTTACCTTTCAACTCATACTTAATTGAATGACAAAAGAAAAACTAGGTTCTATGGGAACCTAATTCATCAAAACGTAACATGACCAAACATATTCCATTGCGATTTAAATTTTCAACAATACACTTTTATTGAACATTATTATTTTCTTAAGTTATATAATTATTCATTCATTTGAAATTATTTTTGGGTACTATCGAAAACGTATCGCAAATGTCAACAGTGACATGTAGCCTACTGTAGTAAATTGATTATAAGCAGGGGCGGATCCAGAAAGTTTCTGACGGGGGATGGGTGCCCAATAGGTAGAACACACCCACCTCAGCCCCACCATGGTTGGGACTGAGTGAGCAAATTTTTAGAATATGCCCCTCTCTAGACGCTCGGAAATGGCACTCTCAGATGGTAAAATGCTTTTTCAAAGCTGTGTTCCTCCTCCACAAAATGATTGACTTCTTCACGACGGGAGCTATGCTCCCCCTCCCATAGACACCCGGCCCTTCCCTCACGTGGGTCTAATAGGACCTGGCATAGTCTATGGGAGTCGCAAAGAAAATTATGATTAATGCATCTCTAAATGGAGAAATAGCACTCATTCATATTTAAAATTTGAATATTTTATCTCCATTATTTTTTATTTATTTATTTTTTTAAATTTTGACAAATGTAGGCGGTCCTAGCCGGCTGGGCACCCCATCCCCACACTGGATTAATGATATGTCCTGCAGTCAATATCAGAGACACAAAGCCAAGTTAAAGACAGCCCTATACAAGAGAGGAACGGTGTTAATTAGGGATTCAGTTACAATACTTTACACAGTATAGTAAAAATCAATGAGAACATTTTTGTTTTATTCTAATTTTTTTAGGAAGCCAATAACCTACCTATATACAAAATGTAATGTAATTCAATCGTCCTCATCAAAAAGTTTCAGAAGTGATTCGATACACCACCAATCACAGTCGAGAGAGGTCAAATGTCATTAGTCTTGTTTTGTTTTGGAATGCGTGGGAAAAAAAATGAACTTTCCAGTGCCAAGTAGCAAATTAGTTGTGGAGTCATCGTCATTTTGCAATGAAAAATCAAGACACCAGCAACATGTTTTAGATCATTACTTTAATTACTCTGTATGTTATTTCTGCTTAACTTATGCTAACGTGCCTAAGGGACAAGTCTAGTTGACTAGGGTTTAGGCAGGCTAGGCTAGGCTTGGGCCTAATCAGTCTGTCGTGCTGCACCGTGGCGTGGTCGCGCACGGTACATGTCACGCCTGCTCAAGAGACGAAACAACTTAGGCTAGGCCTTGTAATACTAATTTTGTTGAATGTCTAAGGAATGAATGTGGACTTTTATAACGCATGATATACGGTAGGTATGGTCTTTCAACAAATGTCCAAAATAATTTGAATAAAAGAAACAAATAAGGTGAAGAGAAAATCAATTTAGATGGATAAGAAAAGATGTGTTTGAGTCTGGCCTTAAATTAGGAAATGGATCGGATTTAAAAAAAATATAATAATGGAAAGAGTGTTCCAGAGTCCAGGAGGATAAGATCAGAAGCATTCTTGATACCAACCAGAGAGAGCTGATGTAAATTATAACAGAAGTTTAACTGGTGTTTGCTTTTCAGATTGATGTCCTAGTTCCAAATAGTACAGAATTGCCCGTTCTCTCTAGTGGCTTTGACTGCACTTCCTATATTATACATAACCTACCCGTGGCAGAGCTGGTAAAGAAATCATTTGCAGATACACTTTTAAAGAAAGGTAACTAGATACTGGTCAGAGACACATTGTGCACATCCAAGAAGATTGTGAACTTGTTAAGACTATATAACTGCACCATTCTGTAAAAGCTTTTTAATAGCGTAGATGATACCTTAAAAACCAGCTAAAATTTGCGTAGAAAATCACTAGGAAAATAGGTGCGCAGAACCATAATTACTGCAATACATTGTTGTTTATATATTAAAGATTAGGTCAAAGCCTAATTTTCTGCAAAATCTGCGCGGAACTTGGCCTATATTTTCCAAAATGTGCGGGCAAATTTCTAGGCCAAATTTTTGCGCGGAGGATATATTCCCCACGCAGGCCTTACTATACAGTCTAGACGCTGCCTTGCAACCCACGAAACATTTTTTGCAAGCCTTCATTGACACTGATATTTTTACAGACTCGATAATCTGTATTTTAGTAAATTTTCTCAATATTAATTTTTTTTTCATTCATTTGAATCTTTTATGCAATTGTAATGACTTACCACAAAATTAGTAGCTTGGTTGGGAAACCAACAATTGAGTTGCATAGATCACATTTTGGTTCAATTTTTAGATCAGCCTTAAAGCTTGAATTCTGATTGGAAAAAATATGAAGTGGTGTATCTGTGGGTGCACAAAGGGAGCATGCTTCACTACCCTGCAAGAGCCCCTCAGTCATCCTCCCCCACGCTAGAAAATATTAAAGCAATAAAATGTATATCAAGTAGTTAAAAATTACCTCATATCACCTTATTGTGCGAGCTAACTTCCCCTCACTTAATCATTGAGCCTCCCCCCCACTTCACCTTTTTCCCATCTGCTCCCCTTCCCCATTTCAAAAATCCTAGATACACCATGTATTGTAGTTTGTAGAGTATCACATTCTTCCTGTAAATCACGAACCACTCACTGCTGTTGGTAGAGTCTCAGGAATGTTTTATTAAATTAAAATAAATATGCTGCTCATTTTGCTTCTTGTCGTATATTTCATTTAGTAATTTGAATGTATTATTCCTTTATTTTGCCCTAGGTTACTTCAGTGCACTGTCTCATAATACATGGATTGATTCAGACAATGTGGTTGCTGTCCTACCAACTGGTAAAAAGTTATGATAATAACTATAATAATTAAAAATATATTAATAATGATTCCAATAATAATAATTAATAGTAAGAAACACAGTTATTTATAGTAGTGGAGCTGCTATTTGGTGGTTAAGATACTAATACATAATGATAATACTGATAACATGTGCTCATTCATCTTTTGGCATGATTTGGACCCTCGTAGCATGTAGCATTAATGCTACGCATAATTTCATGAAAATGTAGCATAATTTAGAGTTGCCTACAGTATTTTAAAAATGTTCTCATCTCACCTATAAAGGCAATAAGGTATGCAGGCATTGCAGCAAACATGTTAAATCCATTTTTTAGCCAAATTCATTTTTAGTGCCATATATACTGCATACTCGACTATCGTTTATCTAAACGGTTAAGGCAGGGGGCCGTAACCTACAGCAATAATATCGGTGCTGGTTCAAACGGCATGCTCGCCTATGGCTCTGGAGGTGGAGCAAGTCTTCTCGGATAAGGACTATAAACCGTAGGCCCAGTGTACACAGTGGCTCATGTGCACTATAAAGAACCCAGTACATCTTTCGAGTAGGGGGTTAACCCGGTGTAATGGTTCATCTCAAGCCCCTGCCCTCATCCAGATGCTGGACAGGCATTGATGAGTATCTACACAGATTTAGATAAATACCAAAATGTTTGTTACATTCATGACAGTCGTGTATATATTCACTATTTGAGGCATAGCATTCTGTAGCATAATTTCATTTCTCACAGTGACCATGCTGACTGTAATGATTATGTCTTTTACAACCATCAAATACACTTTTTATTTTTATTTATTTAGGCACACAACACATATACCAAGGATTGTCAATAGCGAATATATCACTGTCCTACTTGTAAGTGACAATCCCTTGCACAAGACAAACATACACACTCTGAATAAGAAAGTCTTTTTATAATGATTGTTACTGCTTTCATTTGTTATGTTTCTTGTCGTATTGTCTTGCAGGCAAACTTGTGCTGTCCGTGTCCAAAGATATTTATGAGGAGCTTGGAATTGTTGGGAGGCCATCTACGTTTGATGAAAGAAGAAAACCCAAGAAGTTCTGTATGTAATTCATCTGGGTTGTTTATTGTTTCTAATAATTTTGTTTTTCAACTTTAACCAAATAATATTTATTGTTGCAGCAAGTCATAAACTCAGTGATGAGGACTGATAATTATTATTATTATTATTATTATTATTATTATTATTATTATTATCATTCTTTATTCTTGCTCTTCTCAACGGACGTCCTGAGTATTTTCATTTTCTTCTGAATTGTGTTGAGCTCCTCAATGTGGGAAGGGCTGGGCTCTTGCTCACTTCCACCACCACCACCACCACCACTTGCTCTACCACCGGTTATGCTAATGGACACTTGGTGTATGTATCAGGGGAGTGTTTGCACATTGTACAGATTTACATTTGTTTGACCATATTGAAAGGATGGGAATAGTAACTTGCTAAATGTATGTGAAAGTATCGAAATACTGTTTGCCCTCCAATTCATAACCCCTCTAAATTCCAAGACCCCTATAATTCAAGACCACTTTTTCAAAGATCTTTTAACATACATCTAACCCCCTAATTGGGGACCAACCCCTAAGACCACACCATAGTTTCGGGTCTCAAAGGTAGTCTAGAAGTGGTGGACAAACTGTATAAGGTACATAATAAAAGACCCTTCTAATTCAAGACCACTTTTTCAAAGATCTTTTAACATACATCTAACCCCCTAATTGGGGACCAACCCCTAAGACCACACCATAGTTTCAGGTCTCAAAGGTAGTCTAGAAGTGGTGGACAAACTGTATAAGGTACATAATAAAAGAGAAAAACCCCAGGAAACAAGGGATAACGTCACCAAAAGTAATCTTAGGAGAAGCATTAAAGTTGGCTCAGGATATATGAGCATGAAGATCCACCATTAGTGTAAACAATTAGTGATTAATTAGTGTCACCATTAGTGATTCCTGATGGTGACATAATTAATGTCGAAATATTGAATTCCAACATGCTGGCGTGCATTTCGTTACTTTGAGTATGTATTATACTATCTTATCTGAGATTAATCAGTGGACCTTTCGGTTATTGTAAACAAAATATGAACATCTACTCAGCGAAACAATACACAATTATTCACTAAATCTCTTTGCCATAGTTATTGAAATTGATTTGTTGAGTCCATCATTCCAAGAGGGAAAAAAGAATTATGAACATGTGCAATGGTGTTTTAAAGATAGACTGGATCTGATCTTCAGTTTCATGGTTACTTGGCAACCAAAAGGTAATTTTGTTTTCTTGTTACTGCCCTATCTCTATCTGTGATTTGTGTTAACAACCAATAAAGAGGTATAATACTAGCATGTTACAACTCAACAAACATTTATTCAACAACGTGGCTCAGGCAAAAGAGTGATGTCTGTTTCCTTGAGCCTAGCTGACCTTTTATAAGTTCATTTTATTGGTCATATACAGTTAATGAATACAATACATGAAATTTACTTTCCCAGTGCAATGAATAAAAATACTAATATACTAAAATATAAGATACAAAGCACATATTGCACATAATAACGCACACTGAAAATATGAAAAATTAAATAGAGGAAAACAAAATTATCTAACAAATTTATCATTTAACATCTTAATTGCATTAGGAATAAATGATTTTTGTGTTTGTTTTTATTTTGTTTTTTATTATGTTATAGAGGGCGCTAGACACAATATCAACTCTTACAACAGTTGTATTATGTTTTTAAAGCTATTTTTGCGAAATGCAATGGGGGCAACATTGTCATCATCAGTTTTAGCTGTGCCCTATTTTCCACCATGGACCAAGCAATTTTTGGACACACTGCTTGTTGCCCCATTGAAAGGTACTGAAAACAAAATGATATCAGTAATACACCCAAGGCCATGGAGGAATTATCCTCCATGATGAGGCTAAACTCAACCTTCCTCTAACCCATTTTAACGGGGCTAAACTTATCCCTTCTCTAACCCATTTTAAAGAGGCTAGCCTTATCCCTCCTCTAACCAATTTTAACGGGGCTAACATTATCCCTCCTCTAACCTATTTTAACTAAATACAGTTTAAATTATGTATATAAAACTATACATTTTGTTATGTTTTTGATGATACATATTTTATGGCCGTCTATTATGATTTTGTCTTTTAGAAGATAGTCAGATTGACTTACTTCACAACTACTTCAAAGCTTTCACCCTCCAGTCATTACCAGTTAAAAATGATGTATCAGTGCTGGGAACCCTGCAAGTGCCTGAGATATATGGGGACTGTCTTCATAAACATCCATCACTAGGTATTGTAGATAAAGACACTGGTCTACACAATGCTGTAGAGTTCTATGAATGGATGGGTGCAGTGACTTGTAAATGTCAGTGGTATGTATCTATAGACCTATATACTTTCTCTAACTGATATCCAACTAACCTTCTAACCCTCAATCTCACTATCCCTTCCTCCATCCAACCCCCTGATATATCCCTTCATAAACTCTGTCTTTTTTTTTCAACCCTCTATCCATCAATTCAGTTATGTATTCCTCAATATATTTCATCTAATCAGTTATACCTTCATCGCATTCTATATTTATCCCTCGAGGTATCTTTCCACCCTAACCCTATTTGAGGCATACCATCCCAAAACCAGCTTGCTGTCGCTATGTTAAACTTAGTATAGTGGACCCTCCAATTCGAGACCCCTCTAATTCCGAGACCCCTCTAATTCGAGACCACTTTTGGTCAAATAAGTAAACTGAAACTGAAACTTTTCAAAAGAAATAAATAACAATCTTCAATCTTTTAACACAAAGCTAGTCCTCTAATTGGAGACCAACCCCGAGACCACCCCAAATTTTCAGGTCCCAAGGGTGGGTCTCGAATTGGAGGGTGAACTGTAATTAACATTAGAGTGTGTCAGTATTGCATACTTTAGTACAGAAAAGCCACAATACTTTTACTCATAAGTTTGGTAATAGTCAGTCAGTTCCAGTGTATAATCCATCATTATAAAGCATATATTGTGGAGAATAAGAATAAGATTTTTATTTTTTGATCACTGATGCTGGTGTTTTGGATGGCAAGCCTCATACCCCTCTAAACTACCTATCCTCAACCCTCTTTCTCACCTTCTGACCCTCTACTGTCCATTTCTCCATTTGGTCATGAATTCCACCCTTCACCTAATACTAAGTACATTATAACTCTCAATCTATCCCCAAATTACAATTTTCTCTATGTTCACTGTACTATTCTTCTATTCATGTTTATCTATTTATCTGCTGTATCATTCATGATCCATAAGAAAACACATTTTAGATAACTGTAGTAGGTTAGTCACAAATTTAGTTTGAATTGGATTTCTGAGGCTTAAATTCTCCTTCGGCATGTGCTGTCTACAGCATACATTTAAATCTATCACATAATATTTTCTTTTCTGCTAAAGTGCTGGTGAGCCCGATAGTTTCCTGTCCACATACCACCATCCTGAGCCAAGCTTAACTGTACCGTCCTCAGCATGTGCACGCTGGCAGGGGTTCATTTCATCCAGGGCAGTAGTCTCACTCCTCCAGACTCTCAGGTATGTTCAACTCTATAGCTTTGTACACACACATGTATCATATCTTTGCTTTCAGTATGTTAAGATTAAATTTTTTTAACCAGACGCATTTATTTTCCCATGATAGTAACTTAACGGAGTTACACCGCCACTGGTTGTAAATCATAATGATTATTATCACCATTTTCCCAATACATTACTGATTTCATAAGAGCAGGGGCGGATCCAAATATGGCCAAAAGTAGGGCTGATGGAGACAAACTACCCAGGGGTCTGGGTGATCAATTTTTTTTCCCCTTTTTTTTTTTTTTTTACTTTCCAAAAAGAGGCCACAGGTGGCCCTGGCCCTTCCGCTCAAAATCAGCCTCTGAAGAGCCGTGATAAACTGTAACACTCTAAAGTGACGATGAAATTAATTTTATTATTAGTTGATATCTTTTTGTTGCAATATCTATTTTAATTATTCTCCTAATTCTAATTTATTTAACAATGTTGCTCGAATTGGCATTCTGTTTTGATTAATCTTCGTATGTAAGGTCACATAGTAGGTCATATCTTTAGATGTCACACAGGCTATTTTGACATGCTCTACATTCATCGTCTGGACCTTGCTTTACGTTAGCCATACCATGTTGTATTTACAGTTCTCATCAGATCACCGGTTAATAGTTAGATATTAATGTACTGTATATATGTATACCTGTTTAAATACCAATAACTAAACTCAGATTAGGGAGCTTTCGATTTGTTCGACGACGTGGCGCTTGAACGGATTCATTCATGCGTGACCGGGCATCCTACGTTCTCTGCACATAGATTTGGCCTAATTGTGTCCTAAAATCCATGCGACAACAAGAACTTAACGTTCTCACATGCGCAGATGACTTTTAGTGACGTCAAAATTATAATTGTCTGGGTCTACCGTGGTTAGTGAAATGGGAGACAATCTTCTACTCTTTTTTTCAGATAGTGTAGTTGTTTTTGGTGCATTTATTTTGAAGAACACGGTACAAATTTTGGAAAAAGAGCAACACATTGTCTCATGGCGTACTGCCCAATTTATCACCAGAAAGACTCCAAGTATAATAAATTTTAAAATAGTAAGATTTTTTGTGGTTTATCCTTTCCCACTGAAGGAATCCAATCCAAACCAAATTTATAATTGTCTGGGTCTACCATGGTTAGTGAAATGGGAAACAATCTTCTACTCTTTTTTTCAGATAGTGTAGTTGTTTTTGGTGCATTTATGTTGAAGAACACGGTACAAATTTTGGAAAAAGGGCAACACATTATCTCATGTCGTACTGCCCAATTTATCACCAGAAAGACTCCAAATATAATAAATTTTAAAATAGTAAGATTTTTTGTGGTTTATCCTTTCACACTGAAGGAATCCAATCCAAACTAAATTTATAATTGTCTGGGTCTACCGTGGTTAGTGAAATGGGAGACAATCTTCTACTCTTTTTTTCAGATAGTGTAGTTTTTTTTGGTGCATTTATGTTGAAGAACACGGTACAAATTTTGGAAAAAGGGCAACACATTGTCTCGTGGCATACTGCCCAATTTCACACTGAAGGAATCCAATCCAAACCAAATTTATAATTGTTTATATTCTTAATAATAATTAATCTAGTATAATACCAGTAAGATTTACCAACAAGTTAATACCAGTATTGAATGTACATACTATGTTGTGGTGGTTAGCTTCGTCAATGATGTGAAGAGTTTTCATTAATCATTTGCTTTTCTCACATATTATGCCAGACAGTGTGTTCTTGAAACCTTCCAATTATACTAACATAGTTACCAAGTGAATTACTGAAAATGATATACATGTATTCCACAGGGAGATTTGTCATATGCCCTTTCCCCTAAAGCAATTTCACAAAACTTTTGAACTCCTGTTCAGCAGGGGATTGGGGGATTTCTGATGGAGTCCAGGTGGAGGTCTGAGGATTCATGGCTGTCGGGGAGATTTGGAATGTCCCATAGGGGCTTAAGCACCCCTTCTCTCCACTGGTACTGACACTGCTTCTATGCAAAGAGGGAACATTATAAAGAAGACAATAATTTACAATTTACACACATTTCAATGACGGAACTCAGAAGTGCCAGAAAACCAAGTATTTTCATACACATTTTTTTTTTTTTTTAATTATTATTTTTTGATTCCCATCAATGTTTTTAAGCTTTGTCCACACCATCATGTAGTTATGATGTGATGTCATCATGACCATATTTAGGCATGTCACATGTTTTTTGATAGTCTACACAGGGCTTTAAAGTATTACAAATAGTAAAACTATTTGTGTCCATTTATCCATAGGTCATTCCTGGTCACAAATGCTGATGTTCCTTGGATCGCAATGTCTGTACATGGGTTTATGGACTCCCCAGTTTCCTGGAAAAACAGAGAACATGGCTTCCATAAGTTTGGTGATAATCTGTACACATATGTGGTGTTCCCTGATGACAAGTACATTCTCTATACCGCAGTCGGCACCGATGACCTTTGCCCTTGATGATGGAAATGCCAAAGTATGAACTTATATTACCTAGCATTTTAATGAAATGGTGCATATGATAGCATATGGCCTAGCAACATACACGGATGTAAGTAAAGTCATGTTGCATACAGTAGTAACATACTTTAATGATGTTACTAATAAACGACATGTTTCAACGTGTCACACGTCATCATTAGACAATAGTGCTTATGGTACTATCGGTTTATTTGCTATAAACCAGATGTATGGCATACAAAACAGGAGAAATATGTACCTTAGGACAGTGCCATTGCAAGACTGGAAGTTGTTGAAGATGACACTAAAAGAACGTCCAAAGATCTATAACTGTACATAATTTTGTGATAGAACTATGTGAGTTATAGGTACATTTTTACAAGTTAATACTCAACCAATCACAGGATGAAGATCAGAATGTTTACATTGGGTTTGGATGAATGAATGCCATATTAAAATGCTTTACAGTGTCAACTTATGAGAATGCTATTCTAAAGAAATTGTTAAAGTAACTGTGCTGATACAAGTATGTGAAAGCTAGACTAAAATAATTTGGTATGCATCTAATGATAGAAAAACTGGGAGTCATCAAGGACCTCAGAATCCGTTCAGGACACGACTGTCGAACTCAACAATGTTGATCAGACTTATTTTAAGGAAATACAGTGGTATCCAACTGTCATGGAGTCACAATTTGTTTTATCAGTTATACTTTGTTGACTCAAGACTGAATCGAACATTAAATCAATATGCAGATATTAGATATTAACAGTATTTCATTGTGATATTTTTTTGTATGTAAACACTTCTATGTTGAAACGTTTTGATGTTTTTTCTTTGTGCTTGTTATTTTACTGTAGATAGGCCTATATTTACTACAGTACTTTCCATCATACAGATGTACTATCAGTCAAAAGACAAGAAAATACCTTTAAAAATACAAATAAACTTTTTGAATAGCTCATTCAAAAGAATCAGATAATTAGCTTCCAAAACAAATCGAAAAAAATTGTTTTCACCGATTTAGAAATTTTACTATAAAATCCTTAATTGATTACCAGCCAATTTAAGGATTTTTGTTGTAAAATTTCTGTAAATCGGTGAAAGCAATTTTTTCGATCTGTTTCTTGGTGGAAGCTAATAATTAACAGTATTTGATTCTTTTACATGAGCTAACGGTATTTAATTTTTTTAGGTTTTTCCTGTATTTTTAATGATAGTTGTATTTTATGAGAAGTCATCGTGCTGAGGGCGAGTGTTGGACGACTGTGCATGTCATTGAAGCATTCTCACCCATACAGTAGCCAATGTATAGGTTTTCCCAACCTTAAAAAAATGTATGAATATCTGAAAATACTGCATTGACATCAACTTGTCAAAAAAAATTTCAACACACATTGTTAATTAGTATGTTTCAGTGCATGATACATGGTTACATTATCACCATTTGTATACCACATTTGGATATTTTATTTATTCGACCCTTCAAAGCCTCATTTGGAATAAAAACCTCTATCGAATGAACACCTCCCCTCAAATGAGTGGAAGCAACATCATTCTCACACATTTTGTTTATGTTCTAATCCAGTAGAATTTCATTTTACTGGTTGGATCAATCTTTTAATGATCACAGTTTGACGGTAATAATTGTAGTTCTGCATTTCGGTTAAACTAAGGGGGCGTTTGTGTATATAGGTATCGGTTTTAGAGCAAAAAATAAACAAAACCCCTTCTTCCTGGGGAATTTATTCGAATAAATACGGAATTTAAGAATTCTACCCCGAGTATATTTTAGAGGCAACTGAAATAAATGGACAAACACTACACAATTTATGGATTACACCTATCATAAGTGCAAGACCTCAGACTTTGGATCTGTGGCGTCTTGAGAGTGTCCAAAAAAAGATTATTGGAGGAACCCTACTGGAAATGATGAAAAGCTAAATAATTAAGGTCAAGTAGTTAAAAATCACCTCACATCACCTTGTTTTACGAGCTATTGCCTCTCAATTATCAAGGCCCATCATCCCCCCACTTCAGGACTCCTATATACACCATTGCTTAGCAGTGGCGGCGCCCGAGTTTGAAATCTGGCGGGAAGCAAGGTAAAATTTTAGGGGGAAAATATGCTGGGGCGAGGGAACACGAAGTGGGTGTTGTCGGGTGTCGCTAAAAATAATGTGTTGAAAGTGGTCCGGAGGGCGAAGCCTCCGAAAATCATGACAATTTAGGAGTTTCAGAGGTTTATTTAATCAATTTTATAGATAGTCTACTAATATGTAGAAAATATATCTTTTTTTTTCTTCCCTATGAATTATGGTTTTTCTTCTGAAGAAAGAAAATTATTTGGGGTATATGACCCCGCAGATGCTGCCACTATTGCTTAAGATCGTCATATGGCGAGGTCAAGTAGCAAAATACATCCAACATTTGAATTCAGTTGCGGATTCAAATGTTAAAAAAAAATTGATGAAATCTAGTATGGATCCTCTATTTGTGAAAGTACCTTCCTGGGCCCCCTTTATTTTGAATTCCTGGATCCGCCACTGGAATTAGACTTCTTCAGTGTGAAATTCACAAATTATCATCCATAAAAGCATACTTTCAAACGTAGACAGTGTCTTGAGAAATTCACTGCAAGTGTTTGAAAATCCAGCATGCTCAGGATGGGCAGGTGTGATAGGCCGGCAAATTAGTTCCACTAAGCGAGTTAACATACTAAAAACATTAGGTTTTTTTCATCAGGATACGGATTTAGTTCCATGTTATTTTTTTTTATCATAATAGGGATTTAGTTCCGCGTTCTCATTTTTCGCACCCCTACGCCGAAACCAGCTTATGCCCAGTGGCTGCATCAGCGAGGGGCAGGGGAGTTAAGCCCCACTGGCCAGAGCTTGTCAGGCAATCAGACCAATAAAAAAAGTAGGCTTACACCAAGCCAACAGATGGCCAGAACAGACTTGGAGAGTGCCATTTCCGGCCATCCAGAAGTCCTATTAAAAGAAAATCTCATTCCCCCTCCCAAACCATCCCCTGGCTCAGGCATAATTATCCTTTGGTCACTCATCCCCTGCCCAACAGCGCAAGGCCCCAAGAAAATATATTCTACAGCCGCCCCGCTGCCCCTGTATGTCCCTTGTGTAAATAACAGCACAGTACTGCAACCAAGTGTTAAAAATATGCTGTAGTCATCAGCTAAGTACTTGCTCACTTTAACTGCAGGTGAATCAACTGAGGGACAGAAAATTATATATGCATCACTTGGTTTAACATCTTTGCTTGCTTTCAATATAAATCAATTTTAACATACAATTTCATATTTTGTTTATGTATGCAGATACTGTATGTTAAAGATGTATTGTCAGTTCTAACAAACAAGTTTATGAATTAATTATTTGTCATTGGCAGTTATTATATTAACCCAAAATTTTTAACTGAAACATTGCATGTACTGTATATCTTTTGTTACTTATAATGGTGTTGGTGGGTTGGGAGATAACCTTCACATGGTCCACACTGCTTCTAACATCATCGATGCAACACAGGGCAGCCATTAATACATTGTTTTTGTAAATGGTGTTGGAAAGTATAGACTTTAGGAAAGCCAGTAAATGAGAAGACACTGTTACAAGTCTACTTCAGTCAACAGATAAAAGCTGTCCTTGATGATTAAACAGGAGCAGGAAATGAGGTCAGTAACAAAAACCACTTCTGCTACCATACAACAAAAATGCAAATTTAAATAGACAAAAATCAATCTTATGTGCCAAATGGTTAAATATTTATTCCATTCTCTATCAGGTACTCTTTATGGTGGTTCTTTAAGTAAAAACTTTGCTAGATGTACTAGTACGATTACATTGTCCATACATATACGTTATTAAATACTGTAATGTCATATTATACAATTTACCTGCCGTACGAGAGATATAAATATCACTTGGGTCTATTTTTTTATTATTTTTCATTCAAAATTCTTTCTCACAATTAATCATTATTGCATGATGACATTTTTCGTATACATTCAAATTTGGAAATGCTAGAAATGAACACAATTGACTGCAAACATAATTCAAGCACATCACACCGGGGTGCATAAAATTCCATTGTCTACAAAGATCTTTCAAAATTGATTCATAATTAGCAACTTTGAAAGGTCTAGATGTGAATATTTTTTTCTGATAACATAGGAGATCAACATGGGATGATACACCCCTTAAAAGAATCGATCTCTGATACTGGAAATAAAGTAGGTTATGTTCTATATAACTGAGCGGCATGTTATACGTGCGGTCATTATCAGAGTGCCTAATTAAACAATGAGGGCCTTGATTTCATCATACAAAACTAATACAAGAGCTCCTCCAGTACCACGAAGAACATTGGACAGTGCACCCTTGAAGAAAGCCCTAGAGCCTTCTTGCTGAGCAATTTTCCTCCAGCAATCAATTGTGTTCTTGTACATGACATCCTTGCGACCAGACTGCATCATCATACGACGTCGAACGGTGTCGAATGGATAGGAGATGATACCTGAAGCTGTTGTCACGCATTGGGCAACCATCCACGAGAAGAAGATGTTAAGCTTGTAAGGAATTGCACCTTTCGCTGTGTCGTATAAACCAAAGTATGCAGCACGGTAGATGATAATGCCTTGCACTGATACAGAGAAACCTCTGTAGAGACCTAAGTATCCATCAGACCTGTATATAGACGCAAGACAGTTGCCTAAACCAGTGAATTCACGGGCTGAGCCTTTGCCGACATCAGCAGCTAAACGTGTACGTGCGAAGTCAAGCGGGTACACAAAACACAGTGATGTTGCTCCAGCAGCGCCACCAGAAGCCAAGTTACCAACAAAGAACCTAAAGAATTGTTTTTTCTTGTCTACACCACTGAGGAAAATTTGCTTGTATTTATCTTTGAAGGCGAAGTTGAGAGCTTGTGTTGGAAAGTAACGGATGACGTTTGCCAAGTTACCTCTCCATAATGAAAAGAAACCTTGCTCTTTAGTTACTCGCCGGAAACAATCAAAGATACCTTTGTATTGCTGGTCAGCAGAAATTTGCTTTGAGGCTGCTTGAACCTGTTGAATAGAAAAAAAATATCCATCTATAATAAACACAAGGATATGCGAGTAGTAGTGGCAGCGCCAGTGGGGTTTCCATTATTGTTCATCAGGAATCCACCAATATTTGGTTAGATGCAAGGGGCGGAGGGGTGAGTTAGACAAGAATGTTCAGCAACTATGAGGGAACTCATTTTAACATTCCTTGATGACAAGCAATATGTTGATGAGAGTAAACCAGTGTCTATTTCATATCAAGTTCCCTATAATATAAAGTAATGTGTGCTTCACTAACAAGGAATAAAAAAGAGAGACTGCTCATGCGAGCATGAACAAGATATTGTGCTCCTTCATGACATCCAACAGCCAACTGGGCAATGAAGTAGTTATCGTTTTAATCAACGCCCAGTAAAGTAAAGTAATTTTGAGAGCCTAACTAAGTGGCATTTTTGGGCAAATCAAGGTGTATTTTTTAAAATTTCCTTACCAACAGCCCTGGCCCTCAGGTGGGTCTGGACCCCTATTAGTATTATTATTTATAGGGAAGAAGACTTCAACTGTAGTGTTTGTATCCCCCTTTTGTAGTAAAGCAGATTTGAAGTTACAATAATCACATGATTTTGAATGAAGGATTTTAAAAAAATCTTTCACTGGTAGTTAAAAACTAGAGCATGCAAGACCTAGGCTCTCTAAGCCTCCACCCCTAAATATAAAGGTTCAAAATATAAACTGGAATCTGAGCGAAAGCTTGAATATGCCTAGCCTAGACCTAGCTACTAGGATGAGGTCTTGAAATTGAAACGAGACGTGGGCGACTGTAGGCCCTAAAATAAAGTAACAAATTACTGAAATGCAGGCCTATTTTTACAAACTAAGTTTAGTTAATATATGAATTAAATACACAACAATGTAATTAAAATCGTATATACAGATAACAATATTCGTCATTTTGTGTATTTTAATTCATTTTTATTGGCACCAAGGAAAGAATTCAGGAATAATTTCTTCAATACCGGCCTTCCCGGCATGCATCACACCAACTGCAATACCACACAGGAATTATACATGCGGCCAAAGGCAAAACCGGCACATTTTTAGGTCGGTTTTTACTAGCCTAGAAAAATTGATTTTACCATTAATTACCTGTAAAAGCAACTTGACTCTTTCAATAGGGGCTACCGTTGTTTTTGATATAGCAGCGGCAATTCCACCGGCAGCAAGATCTTTGACAAAGGAGATAGCTTGTTCTTGCGGTGTTTTCGACATTTTGGATGACTTGGAAAGAGACTGACTACTCACAGACTGACGTCACAACGAACATGGTGGGTTTATAATCACCAATATTGTCTCCTTCCGCGTTATTGAAAGAGTCCCTTAATTCTAAGCGTGTTTAGTAAGGATGTTAAAAATTATGTTTCTTATTATATATTTATATAATTATTTATATTATTATAATTTGAAATTAGAAATATTTCATACAGAAGTTACATTTTATATGCTTATTCAACGACAGCGTATTGATATGGTGATTCGTTACTTATCAATCATTGGTCATTTCCTTCCCACTAGATGTGACGTAATACTATAGAATGCTGTGCGCATAGTTTTGGTAGTGGTGACCCACGAATACCCTTGCCCTTCATTCATCGTTTTAATTTTGACGCATGAAACTGATTGATGAGCTATGTGACGTTACATTCATCCGCTATGGCACAAGATAATGATAGGATTTATATTGCGCAATAGTTCAATATACTGTACTGCAAATTGCGCAATATAGTACAGTATAGTCCGTAGGCCTACTAACTATGATGGTACTGTAGTATCGATACAAAGGCTTATAATATAGGGCCTATTCAACTTCTATCATATTTTTTGCTTTCATTTCAGGGGCGGATCCAGAAATGTCCAAAAGGGGGGGGGGGCGGAAGCGGGGGCCGAAAGTTGGGCCGATTGAGACAACACTATCGTAGGGGTCTGGGGCATGCCCCCGCGAAATTTTTGTGCTCTAGACGCCCGAACATAACATTTGAGGCATTCTGGGCTATCATTTTTTTCTTTTTCTCTCTTTTTTTTTCTTTTTTTTACCTCCCAAAAATCCGCCCCTGCATTTGTTCATATCTCTGAGTCTGAACTTCATTGAACATACGCTTTCAGATCAGCGGCACACATCGAAATGAGGGTGCGTTCGTTAACATTTACAAAGGAATACATCAAATATGTGTTTTTTGGGGTTTTTTCCAGGCTGCGTACGTATAAGCATAAGCAGCTCAGATCCATTATCATTGTCATTATTATTATCGATATGATAAGATAGTAGATTATGATTGCAACAATTATAAAAGCCATTAATATTAATACTATGAAATGGGACCCCAGGTCAAAACGGCAAAAAACCACGGCAATGACCAAAATGGCAAAACTGCCTTTTAGACCAGAACGGCAATGGACCAAAACGGCACTTATTCAAAACGGCAAGACCAAAACGGCAACACTTCCAAAATGACATAGGCCTACTGTATGGTAATTGGCAAAATGGCTAAATAAAATACTACTAGGCTTATAAAGAGTCTAAGCCGAGGGCGTAGACTATCATTATTGTTATAAAAATCAGTGTATACATAAATGATTGCGGTTATACAATCGCCTAAAATTGCAGAGAAAAAAAATATAATTAAAAAAACGAAGAAAAAAGTACATGCACTTGTATTTACGACGTTGTCTTATAATTATCAACAGAAAATGATCCATTATAAGAACGTACACAGCACTTGATGATGGCGAAGTCGTTGTAATGTGGGCGCGAAGGTGAAGTGGCCGGGTGCTCGATAAACAGTTGAGGGCGCTAATTCGCAAAATAAAGTGATTTTAGGTGATTTTTATTTAATTGAGTAGATACGCCACTGATGTAAGTACAGATTCATGCTTATATTTTACACATTTTTATAGCTTATGGTGATATAAATTTATTAATTAGACAAAGACCCTGCAAGCCTACTCATACACTTAATTAGTGTAGAAAACTAGATGACGTCGGTACGATGTTTCTTTTTTAAAAAAAATAACAATTACGATGAATATTCTCAGAACTCTAAAATGCACGGAACTGTGATTAGTATTTCATTCATACACAATTTGTAACTAGGAAGAAAGTATTATCGTGCATGATAGGAAGGTAAAACTTTCCCAACGTCAACACAATGAGAGAAGTACGTAGCGTTCCGATTGTCATGTGCACGTCAAATCATGCATCATGTGCATGTGCGTGCCGTCTTGATCCAAATTAGTGACGCCGGGGATGAGAACTCGTCCAGTACATTACACATGCCATAACAAGGTATTGTATGTACAATGTATTGTATGATGTATTTTGTTTTGCTGCCATCGTTCGGCGACGAAGTCAACCCAGATATGATACAAACAAAATTTGTCAGGTCAGTTATTTCATTTGAAACCAGTGTCAGTATAATCTTAGGTAAGCATGTGGTTTATATAAGCAAGAATTTAGTCCAATGAAACTGTTTATCATCTTGATACCTTCCGACGAAAGCTGACCCTACCTACCGCCGCACAGTGGGCCAGAATCAATTCAAAGTGTGCCAAAAGTCGAAAATAGGTAATGTGACAACTTCAACTTTTAAAGGTTGTTTGAGGTCGAGAACATCCTAAATTATATTAATCCACCAA